CAATTCATTTGGGATGATATCCACACAGACTGGAATATGTCCCAGACTTAGGAAGAGGAGTTCATCATGCTCAACTATTCGTGCAAGGATCTCCCAAGCATCACTCCAAGGCCAACCCAGTCCATCACAAACCTGTGAGGAATTGGTGTCTACCCTCCTTACCCACTCTCAGCAAGATAATGTTAAAGCCTGCTGAGAAATCATTCCGCGGAACCTGCGCCTTTTCTCCCCCTGGCGGACAATGGTGGAACAACTGAGCTTGGGTAGTTTGGGGGATGGTGGTTGGGGGGAATGCCTGTGTTTGAAAAAAGTTGAGCAGTCAAAGGGCTATGGCATCCTTTGAGACTGGCCTCTTTTTGTGGCCTCTTTTCTTTCCCAAGATTTATTTCTCAACAGCTTGAGTTATTAGACCTCTTTGACAGAGGAAAAAATTGAGGCCCAGAGGTGGTAATTTACCCAGAGTAGCACAGTGAGGAGGCTGGAGCCAGGCCAATGAGCTCCAATGTCCCTTACTGCATGAGTTTCTTACCCATAGGGGAAGGAGCCTGGACTTGGAATGAGAGTTGCATCTCCTCAGCTGAGAAGGCTCTGCAAAGAACCCAGAACAGTTCCCACAATCACTCCCCCCAAAAAGCCTCTAATGGCTTTTTGAGGAGACTCGCTGTAGCAACCACCCATGATCCTTTCCTAATACTCCAGCTCGTTGGCATGAGAACTTTTCAGTCCAGACCCCAGGTCTGGGCACCTAGAACCAAGCTATAGTCTAGGAGTTACTGGAGCTCCCAGCAAGACCTTCCCAAGTATCTGAAAACATAGCCATTCTCCAGGAGGAAGGGAAAAGGGAGGAACAGAGGAAGGAATGAGTTGAGGTGAACATCCTCGATGACCTGGCAGGTTAATAGCTCCTACATCTCTGAGAGTTGTTTAGGGATGAAAGTTTCTACTACTCACATCTAGTGTACAGACACTTGGATGACACACCCCATCCCAAGGATACCACAGCCTCTTCTTGCCTTTCAAGAATGACAGTGGATAATGGTGTGAAAATATGCACACTAAGGCAGAGGCTGCTGGTCTTTTACCTGGAGAAATGAACACCACACCACCTAAACCAAGTAGCCAGAGATGTTTTCGTTTTGCTTTTCAAACAGCCTCACTGGCCTAGCTGGCCTGATACTTGCAATGTAGCCCAGGATGGCCTCTGACTTGTAGCAATTGTCCTACCTCAGCCTCCCAAGTGCTTGATTTACAGTTGTGTTGCCACCAAGTCAAGTCAGAACATTAATGAGGCAGCAGAGTGCATGGAATATCAAGTTAATGCCAGTGAGCCATACTGGTGTTAAGTAGGAAACTTAAAACCAGCCTGGCTTGGGTAGGGTGCCTTATAATTCTCCTGGCATGTGAAGAGGACTCCAGTGATTCACGATTCCAGATTCTGTAACAGGATGGTGCATAGAAGGTGATTTGTCAGAAGGGGTGAAACTCTGGGGACAGTAGGAACATAGGTTCTGATGCTGCTTCAGGACCTTTAAAGGGGCAAAGCAGGGGCCAATGAGATGGCTTAGCAGGTAAAGGCACCTGCCTCCAAGCCTGACAACCTGAGTTCAAGACCAAGGGACCCACATGTTGAAAGGAGAGAATCGCTTTCTGACTTCTACTTTTGTACACATGCACACAAAATTAAAAATGTAACCTGACTGCAAGATTGAGGCCAACCTGACCTACATAGCAAGTTCCAGGCCTGCTTGGGCGACAGGGAAATCCTGTCTTTAAATAAATAAAAATAAGAAAAAGGGCGAAGCAGCCTGGAGTGATGGCAACACCTATAATCCCAACACTCAGGAGGCAGAAACAAATTTGAGGCTAGCCTGGTCTAAATCGAAAATGCCAGGCCAGCTAGGGCTCCACAGAGACTGTCTTAAAAACAAACAAAATAGCCAGGCGTGGTGGCACAGGCCTTTAATCCCAGCACTCGTTAGGCAGAGGCAGGCGGATCGGATCACTGTGAGTTCAAGGCCAGTCTGGTCTACACAGTGAGTTCCAGGACAGCTGGAGCTACAGGGAGACCTGTCTCAAAAAGACCAAAAAAAAAAGGAAATCAATCCAAATTAGAAGCTATCAATGTAGAAAAGAATGGAAATTGTGGGCTAGAGAGATGGCTCAGCAGTTAAGAACACTGGTTGTTCTTGCAGAAGACCCAGGTTCAAATCCCAGTACCAACATGGCAGCTAACAACTGTCTGTAACCCCAGTCCCAGGGGATCTGACAGCCTTTTCTGACCTCTGTGGGCACCGCACGACATGGGTGCACTTACCTACATGCAGGCAATACATGCATACACATAAAAATAAATAAAATTTTAAAATAAAAGAATGGAAATTGTGAGGGAAAAGACATCTCTAAATGTATTCAAGATACAAAACGTATTTAAATAGAAAAAGTTCAAGTGGCAGAAAAGTGAAATGTGTAACTAACTAACCAAAGGGAAGAAGGCTCCAAAGAGAGAAATGAAGAAAAGCAAACTGAATTTCAAAAGAAACCAAGGGTGAAAGTGTAACAGCACCGAAATTGAGTGAGCCAGAAGCAGGCAGATTGGGCAACATCTTGTGATTCTAAAGCAGGCTCATAAACAATGGTTCTCACTTCTTCATAGGGCAAAGGGGGAGAGATCAGAAACTACAGGTGGGCTTGTAAGATATACTTCAGTCATAGGAGAGGGCAAGGCAATGTGGATTCAGGAAGGAGCTCCATCCAGTGTCCTGGAGGATGGAGTCTGGGCCTTAGTCAAGCTGGTCTGGGTTAGAATCCTAACTTTGCCACCGAGAAACTCTGGGCAACTCACTTGATCAAAACTGTCTTCCCATCTGAAAACAGGGAAGACCTACTCAACAGGGTTAAGGACAAATGGGGTGCATACATTAGGTTGGCACATGTACAGGAGATGAATGGCACTTCTGTGAATAAAATCTAAATGTCCATCTGCTCTATGAAAGATTGATGTGGAAAACTGAAGTCAATCTTTTAAAGAGAAATACCTATTTACACAATGCAATCTTTAGGGAAAAATAATCCAATTATATCTGAAACTAGGAAGCAATCTTTACCATTTTGACTGACACAACACTGTACCAGTTTGCTCTAACCTGCAGAGGACTTTGTAGTCTATCACTTTCTTGTTCACACCTAGACTCCTCATCCAAGTTATATGCTCCTCAAGCAAACACTGCCACAAAACTATTCATTACATTCCAAATCCTGGATTATGATCAACAGGTTTCTAGAGATCTGGCAGCCAAAGGTTTTAAAATGAAGGTAGCCAATGTCCGGGTGCAGGAATTAATTGCAAACCAAATCCTACCATTGCCCACAGCCCTGGTTAAGCTGCAGTTGGAGCTCATAGTCTGACTACTTGTACTAAGAAGAGAAAACCTCAATTGGGAAGTGTCCTCTATCAGATGGTCACATCTATGAGGCATTTTCTTGATTGTTGAGTGATGTGAAAGGGCCTATCCCACTTATACAACCCAGGGTGGTCCTGGGCTGTACAAGAAAGCAGGGGGACCACAGGCCAGAGAAGCAAAGCAGAATGCAGCACTCCTCCATGGTCTCTGCTTCAGTTCCTGACTCCAGGTTCCTGCCCTGGCTTCCCTCATGATGAACTGTGATCAGGGCTTGTAAGCCAAATAAACCCTTTCCTCCTCAAGTTGGTTTTGGTCAGAGTGTTTTATCATAGCAATATAAAGCTAACTAGGACACAGCTCAAATTTTCAAGTCAGTACAAGTATTTTCCTGAGAACAAGATGAAAACAAAGGACTCCAGGATTTGGCAAGCTTAGGGCAGAGCTTGATAAGTCTATCCTGCAAAATTCTCATCATACGGCATTGGTGTGTGCTTGCTACAGAACATTAAAGCATCAAATCAAACATTAAAAGCAAGCAGGCAGCATCCTTCCTAAATTTTTAAATAAAGTTTTAACAGATTTCTTGGGGGGGGGGACAGACGGGGACTGGGAATTAACTTAAATAGGGTTCTGCTGTACAGCCCAGGCTGGCTTTGAACCTGTGACAAATACTCTCATCTGTCTCCCCACTGCTGCAATTACAGGAGTGAACCACCACACCTAGTGAGAAAGTGATTAAAACTTTTAAAAATTTTACGTATATGAGTGTTTTGCCTGCATGCATATAAGTGTACCATGTGTGTGCAGACCTGCAGCAGCCAGGAGAGCATGGAATTCCCCTGGAACTGGAGTTACAGGTTATTGGCCATCATGTGAGTGCTAGGAACTGAACCCAGTACTTAAGCCATCTGTCTAGTCCCCTAAAAAGTGATTCTTTTTTAAAAACTTGTGTTTTGCCTGCATGTAAGTGCACCACATACATGCAAAGCCCAAGGAAGCCAGAAGAGGGCATCAGATCCCCTGGAACTGGGGTTATAGACAGTTAGCAGCCATGTGGGTGCTGGAAACTGAACTCTGGTCCTCTACAAGAGCAGCCAGTGCTCTTAACCACTAAGCGCAGCTCTCCAGCCCCTAGAAAATGATTCTTAAAATGTTCTGAGGGCAGGTAAGACAAGCAAAATGAAAACACAGAGGTACAAGAAGCCTGACCTTCATTCCCCAGACAGATGGGCTACTTGGGAAACCTTTCAAACAAGTGATTCAATGAGGCAGAAGCCCAAATCCTCCAGCAAGGGACTGATAGGCTGACAAACACGACCACCACCTCCCCTCACATCCCTTCTTACTTTGTACAAGACACTGAGAATATACCATAGGGGAAGACACCCTGGGTAAACAAAAATGAAAAGAATGGGAATGCATGCTGAAGAGGAGGCAGGCTTTACCTTTAAGGAAACAGGATGGAGACTGCCCACAGTGGCAATGTCATGGGGGCACGTGTACAGAAATAGTGTAAGACGCCACACTTAGTAAAATGATGCACTCCACTCATTCAACCTGTACTTCTATTAAAACCCAAGCCAAACACCAACCACAAGCTCCCTGTTTGCTATCCTTTATTAAGAGGTCCCACATTTTCATGGGACCCCAGCCAAACCAAGACAGGTCCCCCAAATATAGCAGGAGGCCTGGAAGGGGAGGGGAATGACATGATCCCACCACACCTCCTTGGAAACAGAAAACCCATCACAAATAGACAGACAAGGGCTGGGGGAAGAGAACCCACCTCACTCTTGGTTCTTTTCCCTTTGCACCCACTCAAAAAGAAAGTCAAACACTGGCTATGCAGACCCCAGCCCCCCACCCCACCCATAGCAGCGTTTATAGGAACCCCCTGCGACGGGTGGCCCCGAGGCAGCTTCCTCTCACTCTTCCTTCACTTTGGTTTGCTCCTGGCAACTCCGTGCCCTCTTCCTTCCCTCAGCCTCCAGCTCACTCAGCACCTTCTATCACCTACTCGGACCTTCTCTCCTCTGGCCTCCCTGCCCCAGGGCTTCTAGGGAAGCAGCATCTCTGACATCTTCCCAACAAGGGCCCCACCAGGCCCTGTCTGCCTAGCGTGTGGCTCACACTGCTGCCCCACTCTCCTTGAGGTCAGGGGCTGAGCGCTGCCGTCTCATTCGTGGGGGAGTAGTGTATGGCGGGTAGCGGGGCCCTGGGGGCCGCTGGGCTGGGTAAGGTTGGGGCTGCTGGGGATAGTAATTGTGCTTTTTGGGCTGGAAATGCTGGGGTTCTGGCTGTGTTGAACCCCCTCCCCGGGATCGGCCCCCTCCATCCAGGGAATTCCTGCGAGGACGGTGAGACCTTCGGGGACTTGGAGGCCTGCGGGCAGGGGCAGTTGTGGGGGCAGTGACCTCCTCAGGAGGTTGGGGTGGAGCTGGGGTCTCCCCACTCCCCATCCCTGGCCAGGACTCCCGGTGCTGGGGGTTGCTTTTGAAGGGGAAGCGCAGCTTACAGTCGTGGGGGGGCACAAAGCGGGCTGGGGGCCTGCGCAGTCCCCCACCCCGGCCCCCAGAGCCCTGCAGTCCCTGTAGCCGCAGCTGCTCCTGCTTAAGCCAGCGAAGGCGGCCACGACGAAAGGCAGGGTCCTCCTCCATTAGTCTGGACACCCGCTCCCAGCTGGACAGGGGTGGTGAGGGGGGCCGAGCAGAGGGTGAACGGTCATTGGGCACTGCCTCCTCTATTGCCTCCGACCCTTCAGATGGCACCCAGGTGACCATACCAGCTTCTTCATTCTCATCCTCAAGATCCTGGGACAGAAGTAAAAGAAGACATGTGAGGAGAGCTGAGTCCTGAGGGGATGTGGACTTAAGTATGTTAGAAGAACCTGGAGTGATCACATGGGGTCTAGAGTAGAGCTTAGAGGTAACAAAGGTAGCAAGGTGGTTGGCGCACAGGCCCAAGGGCCAGATGGTCTGCCCTCAATCCTGCCTGCCATCCCCTAGCCGTGTAGTCAGTCTTTGCTTGGAATCTCTCTCTTCCTGCAGTCCCCCACCCCAGAGCCCTGCAGTCTCTGGAGTCACAGTGCTCCTGCTAAAGCCATCAAAGTCTTCCTCTAGAAGATAATGATGCCAGTAATAATAGCATCTAGAGCCTGGGTTGCTGGAAGAACTAAAGGAGTTCTATTTCAAATGGAGAACAGAGTAGGGGAAAACAGGAAGTCAGCATAGGGGTGGCCACAGTGAATGCACAGAAGAAGACTAAGAAATCATTTCAGTCAGGGCCTGTAGCAAGTAAGAAGCAGGCTGTCTGTCTGAGGGAAAACCATCTAAGCCAAGGGATCAGCAGGTACAAAGGCCTTGAGGCTGAAGCAAAGCCAGCAAGCTCAAGGAACAACAAGGAAGCCGGTGGAGTTGGACTAGAGCAGGTGAAGGGATGAGACCAGAAGCCATGCTGGAGAGGAAGTCTTTGGTAACCTAAGTCATCAGCTAACTGTCTAGGGTTTCCCAGAGAAGTCAAGCTGGAACAGAGTGGCATCTCTGCCTTTACACAATCCTTGTGGCTGGGCACATAGTAGATGCTCAAATGTTTACTTGTTGAATGAACACATGGAAAAAAGGGACAGGTGACAACACTGTCAATCAGCCCACCACAGAGTGATGGTAACTTAACGACTATGTACTCTCCATCAGTAGTTCTCAAACATTGCTGTACTTTAGAAATCCTGGGAGCTCATGAGATGCAAATCACCAAAGATACAGATTTGGGGGTTGGAGAGATGGCCCCGTGGTTAAGAACACTGGCTGCTCTTGCAGAGGACCCAGGTTTGGTTCTCAGCACCCATATGGTGGCTAACAACCATTTGTAACTCCAGTTCCAGGGGATCAAATGCCCTCTCTGACCTCCTCAGGCATTGCACAACACAGGTACACTTACATACACACAGGAAGTACAGTCATATACATAAAATAAAAATGATTAAAAAAAATTTTTTTAAAGATACACATTTGGTACGCTGGGGGTACATACCAGGAATCTTTATTTTTGAGATAGGGTCTTGCACAGCTCAAGCTGGTCTTAAACTATGTCACTGAGGCTGGCCTTGAACTCCTGGTCCTCTTGTGTCTGCTTCCTGAGTGCTAAGATTACAGGCATATGCCACCAGAATGTGTACTGTGTGTCCGTACAGGTATACTCGTGCATGTGTGTGGAGTACATATGGGTGCTGTTCTGTAGGTGTCATCCACCTTGTTTTCTGAGATAAACAAGAAACTTCTTTGTCTAGAACTCTACAAGTAGATTAGGCTGTCAGCCATCATGCCCCAGGAGTCTATCACCACTCTCCCTAACTGGAATTATAAGTACACACAACTGCATCCAGCTTTTTTACACAGGTTCTAAGAAATCAAACAACTCAGGTCCTTGTGTTTATATGGCAAGCATTTGCTGACTGAGCCCTGTGGAATCTGTACTTTTAATTAGCATTCTGAGACCATGACTCTACCCCCCAAATTCTGTTAAACTTCAATTCCCCATTCCCAAAGACAGAAGGAGAAGGATGTTAGTAAGTGTGGTAGAAGTCTCTGGATCTCAAATGTAAACAAGAGCTAAAGAAGGGGAGAAGGGAGAGCTGGCCAGCAGACTTCCCTACCTGAGTCAGGGGAATGACCCTCTCCATGCGGAGCATACGGTCCCGCAGGGCCTGAAGCTCCCGGTCCTTGCTGCTGTTCTGCAGCTTCACCTCCTGTAGAATCCCTGTCAGCTTGTCGATGTGAGCTCGGAGGTCCTCCACCTCTGCCCCACGGGCTCCTTCCTCACTACCACCTCCGCCACCACTTCCTTCCTCTTCACCCACAGTATCCCAGACGTCCCTGGCTACAGCCCTCCAGGCATCTCCAGGACCCTCAGGCTTGCCATAGGTGCGACACAGCTCTCTCATCTTGAGGGCAGCCAGGGCCTCAATTTCAGCCCGCCCATGGCGGAAGTCGGCCAAGGCCACCTCATAGCATATCTCCTTGACTGCTTGCATCTTCAGGTCAGCCATCGTGGCCCAGCGAGGGTCTTTGCCCTGCAGCCGCCGCCGCTGAGGGATCTGATAGACTCTGCGAGGGGCCCTTCGCTTGCCACTGCTGGGTAGGCCACAGCGCTTGACAATGGTCTGGACTGTGGTGGGGGGCAGCTGCTCCCGCAAGGAGGAAATCAGTCGCCAGCTCTCTTCACAGGAGCGCTTGTCAGAGTCTTCCCCACTATCAGAGTCGGCATACTGGGGCCAGACAAGAGATGGAGAGAGCCAAGAACATTTCAGACTTCATCCTTGTCTCAAAGACATGGGGAAACACCCCATCAGTGTAACTGGACTCAAGATCTACTCTATCTCCTAGGAACTGTGTACCCTTAGAGGGTCTGCTTAACCTCTGCTGGTCTAGACAGCAGAGACACTGACAGTGTGTACCTCAAAGCTATTAGTCTGAAGGACTGACTACCAAGAATAGCAGCTGCAATTCGAGTAGTAATAGTAGTAGTTAATCAAGTCTGGGGTTTTGTGCATATACAGTCATGTGTCATTTAACTACAGGGATGTGTTCTGAAAATGTGTCCGTGATTTCATCATTGTGTGAACATTACAGACTGTATTGACACAAGCTGAGGCAGCTACATATTATCAGGTGATATGATCTCATGGAACCACCCTCGTATACATGGTCTCTCATTGACACAACGGCCACTATGTAGCAAATGATCATGTATTACTACTCAGGATGAGGCTAAAGACTTAAGTCCATTTAAGGAGCAATCTTACATGAACGATATTTGAAGGTGGTACAGATTACTGAGGGGCATAGGATCACTAGAGCCTAAGGAGCCTGGTCAACTGGGAAGAGCTTTAGTTTCCTGTGCATATCAAGGGTTGCTTCCAGTTCACATTCCTCTCCTAACTTTTCCTCCTAGCTGACACCACCGCTAATTCTCCCTATTTCCTACTCGGGTTCAGCCAGGGCACCAAGAGCAAAGCTAGGCTGAGATAATGCCAGCCTCACTCTTCAGTGCCCACTAGCCCCTTCCTAGGCGCTGCCCACCCTTTTGCGCCCTCAGCTGCACACACCAGTCGCTGCTGTTCCAGTAGAAGATCAGCCTCTTCCTTCTCTTTTCGGTACTGATTCTCCAGATCTTGCAGCCTGGGTTCAGACAGAGAGAAAGAGGATCTATTACAGTCTCTGGAGCTACCTCAGCAGGGTGTCTAACAACAGGAGGATGCTGAAGAGCTTAGACTCGTGGGGATCTACCCCATACCTCTTCTCCATCTCCAGCTTAATGTCTATGCCTTGCTGCTCCAGCAGCTCCTTCTGAGCAAAGTTCCAGTCAACAGGCTCAGAGGGTGGTCCTAGGGGCGGTGGGACCCCTCTTTCCCGTTCCAGTCGTGCTTGCTCAGGGTGGTTGAAGCGAAAAACGTGGTTCTTGCCCATTACAATCCTGTTTCCTGAAGATGGGAGAAAGGGAACGCAGACCTGCTCACCCATAGCAGAAAAACTATCCCCATACCCCAGGCACAGAAGGTGTTTCCCTTGATGTTCTGAAGCCCTGACACCCTCTGTCCCACCACCTCCAAGCTGGGAGCAGTCAGACTCAACACACCTCTTACTGACCCCACGAAGCACCTGCTTATTAATTACTAAGGTGACTTGTTGGGGGAGAGGAGGTCTTGGTATCCTCTTCCCGTTTCCCAGGGCAGCAAGAGGAAATAAGACTTCACTCCTTGAAGTCTTACTAGCTCCATCATAGCCCCATTCTGCTTCTGATTTATTTCAAGGTCTTACTCTAGCAGGTGCCCCAAAAGCTCTGCCCCAGGACTTTCTATGAAGGTCATGTCTCAGATCCTTCCTCTACAACACATCTCTTTTTGTGTATGGTACTAGGAATTGAACCTAGGGCCTTGCGCATGCTAGGCAAGCGCTCTACCTCTGAGCTATGTCCCCAGCCTCTGCGACACGTCTTCTACCTGACTTCAGCACCAGCGGCTCCATCACCAGCTTCCCATTGACATATGTCTCAGCTCCTTCACAGGGCTCCAATGTGACCACCACTGAGTGAAGGGAGGAAGGGGAAAGATTAAGATTCCCACTTTGTCTCACCCCCAAAAGCATACATGCACCACCAGTCGCACCCCCAGTACCTGCAGGGGTGCCACAGACCCTCTGGTAGCAGGCAGCACAGGAAAAGAAGAGCAGAAGGAGGGTTAGAAACCCACTATGACTCCCCAAAACCTCTGCAGTGGTTCCCTACTCACCTCCCAGCATGCTCCCCAACTATAGATTAGAAACCTATGGTTCTCAGGTTCCTATAATCACAATGAACTGGGCAGAGGCCTATCACTTTTGCCTTCCAGGAGTCCATTCCTACCTTTCTCATTAGCATTATCCCTGGTCAGGCCTGAATGCTTCCAGTAAGCTCCTAGCCTACCTCTTTCTTTGATGCATCTTGCAAACAGCTGCATCTGATTAATCTCAAGTCACAGCCAACATAAAATAAAGTCAACCCAACTCTAGTTGCGCATGGTAAACTCCTAGTACTCAGGATGCTGAAGCAGGCAAGTTTGAGGCTAGCCTGGGCTACACAATGAGTTCAAGCTCAACCTTGGCTACACAGTAAGATCTTGCTTCAAAACAAAACAAACAACAAAACAAAACAACAAAGAAAGCCAACCCAACCCAAAAGTCTATCAAGAGTTCCTCAGTCCAAATTCCTGAGCCTGTTGCTTACTGGGGCACAAAGATGTACAAGGCACCTCTTCATACCCTTAAGGAGTGGTACCCTATTTTTACAGAAGGACCCCCAAGTCCCAGAGACTCAAGCTCTATGTCTACTTAGCCAGAGACACTGAGCAAGTCATTCAACTTTTGGGATCTTCTATAAACTGAGATGATAAAGCCTTTATTTACAGAGTAGCCAAAAGACTCAACTAAATAACCTATCAAATAATATGCAAATGTCACTTTTTATTATTTACTTATTTATTTACGTAGTTTTTTTGGTAGTATTAGGGACTGAACCTAGGGGTCTGTATATGCTAGGCAAGTGCTCTACCACTGAGCTATATCCTCACCCCAACCTTTTATTACTATTTACACAACAAGTAACAGGGAAACATGGAAACTGGAATAAATTATAACACCAGACAGAGATATGGACTATTCTAAAACTGATGTAGAGAGAGGGCAAAGATGGCACAAAGGCGCTCAGCTTAGGGGTAGAGGACAAGAAAGGTTTATGTGACAGTGGAAACTTCCCAGCAGATGCTTTGAAGCATGACTTAAAGGCTTCAATGAGCTGAAATGATGGCGAAAAGGTAGACTGGGAGAGAGATACCTAAGGGCATCACTGTGTCTAGGAACAGCCAACGGGACAGGAAGGGAGCTAGTTTATCATACTTTTACTTCTGTATCTCTCACCATGCCCCAATACACATCCATTAATTTCACAAACATATTATGCTCCTATCATATGCCAGGCACTATTTTATTAGATCTTGGGACTTAAAAAGCAAGAATCCCTGCTTTCACAGAACTCAAACTGGCTGGCAAGGCAGATAATAAACAAGATAATTTAGGGACAGCAAGATGGTTCAGTGGGTAAAGGCACTTGCTGCAAAGCCTGATGTCTTGCGTTCAATCCCCTGAACTCACATGGCAGTAGGAGAGAACTGACTCCTACAAGTTGTCCTTTGACGGTCACATACACACTGTAGCACACATGTGCCCACATATATACAAAATACATGCTAAAATACAACTTTAAACAGAATACTTTAAAGTCATTTAATTCTAACAGTTTTTAAAACCATGAAATCTAACGTTTTCTCTAAAGGATGGAACAGGTATTATGGAAAGAAAATGGGCCCAGGTGAGAGGACTGCTCCAGGCTGGTCAGGGCAGCCTACTCTCTACTCTCTCTTGTTGAGACAGGGTCTCGTGTAGCTGAGGATGACCTTGAATAGATTCTCCTGTTTCCACCTCCTAAGTGTTGTGACTACAGGTAGGTACCACCACACCTGATTCTGTGCAGTGCTGGGAGACTGAACTGAGGGCTTCATCTATGCTAGGCAAGCATGCTACCAACTAAGCTTGATCTCCAATCCACCTCCCTGTTCTTTAACCTGCAGGAACCTGGAAGCCCCTGCAATCTGACAATCTGTGCCAGAGTCCAGTTCTGCTACTTTCTAGCTGTGTTATCTTGGATAAATCACCTAACCTGAAAGCCTCAGTTCTGTCACCTGTGAACTAGGTGAGAAAACTCAGAGAGAAAAGTAGATGATCAGTAAGTAGTAACTGTTCCATGTCCAGGATGCACATCTTCTTTGTCCATCTCTGGTCAAGTCTTAAGTCTGCTGTAAGAATAAAAGCCCGGGAGCTAGAGACATGGCTCACAGTTAAGAGCATTTGCTGCTCCTATGGAAGACCCAAGTTCGGTTCCCAGTACCCATATGATAGCTAACAACCGTCCATAACTATAGTTTCAAGGAATTCAATGCATTCTTGGGGCCTGTGTGGCATATGCTTAGTGGCACTTACATACATGCAGGTAAAACACTCATACACATAAAAAATTTAAAAACAAAAACAACTAAAAGCCCAGGGGCTAGGGAGATGGCTCAATGGTTAAGAGCTCTTGCTGCTCCTGCAGAGGACCTGAGTTCAATTTCTAGCACCCATACTGGGTGACTTAAAACCACCTCTAACTCCCACTCCAGTGGAATTTGAAGCCTCTGCAAGCCCCTACACTCTTGTTCACATGTGTGTGGACAAACACACACCCTATAATTTAAAAATAATAAAAATAAATCTTACCACACACACACACACACACACACACACACACACACACACACACAACTAGCCCAGGCAGTCTAACCCTTTGGAGCACAAAACATTGGCTACTTTTCATTGTGATTTATTTAGCAGTCTTGTACATGCTATATCTGTCATCTCCCCAAACACACTATACACTCCTGTAACATGGGCTTGCCCAGGCCTCACATGGCTTTAATATCTCCCTCCCGTGTAACAACCGCAGAACAGGAACTTGGCAACAACTCACTGATCTGAACTGATTCAGCAGCTTTCAGCCCAAAATGCAGGAAGCACTTGCTCACCACTGAGGACCTGAACCAGACTAGAATGACTGCGTCAGTCTGCTGACCTGAACCAAACTGAAACCCAATGTCTTAAACCTGAGCTGTAAGCCACATAATGGTTTTCTTTTCTTTCTTTTTTTTGTTTTTTGTTTTTTATCTTTTTGAGACAGGGTCTCCCTGTAGCCCCAGCTGACCTGGAACTCACTGTGTAGACCAAGCTGGCCTTGAACTCACAGAGATCTGCCTGCCTCTGCCTCCCGAGTGCTGGGATTAAAGGCGTGCACCACCACGCCCGGCTCTTTTCTATTTTTCAAAAGGATCTCTATACACTGCCCAGCAAACTCCTGGGCTCAGGCAATCCTCCTATTTTAGCCTCCCAAGTAGCTCTGACTACAGGCTAGTGCACCATGGCTGGCTAGTTCTTAATTGCTGGTAGGGCTGAGGAGAAGGTGCAGACAGTAAAGCACCTGTAGCACAAGAATAGGACCTAAGTTTGTACCCAGTACCTATACATAAGCCTGGTGTGGTGGTGCACAACTGTAATGGGAGTGCTGGCGGGAATGGAAACAGGACCTGATCTCTGGAGCTCACTGGCCAGCCAGTCTAGCCAAATCTGTGAGCTCTAGGTTCACTGAGAGACCCTGTCTCAAAAAATAAGGTGAACAACTGAGGAAGACACCAATGTCAATCTCTGGTCATTAAACATGCACAAGTGCATATGTAAACTCACAAAAAGTACTGAGAACCAGGTACTGAGCCTGTAATCCTAGCACTTGGTAGGCTGAGCCAATAGGATTAGGAGTTTGAGGCCAATCTAGGCTACACAGAGAGACACAAAGACAAACACAAAATGTATTGGGGTCAAAGGCTCAAGAGCAGAACACAGGGCTCAGTGGTAGTGCTTGCCCAGCAGGCACATAGCTGAAGCCCTGGGTTAAATTCCCAGCAGCACAGAACAGGCAAACACCCTAAACTATACAATGGCTTTTAAAAAATATTTTATTTATTACTTTCATTTTTTTATGTGTCTGAGTATATTGCCTGCATGCATGTAAGTGCATTCGTGTCATGCAGTGTTTGCAGAGGTCAGAAGAGGGTGTTGCATTCCCCTGGAACTGGAGCTACAACAGTTGTTAGCCACCATGTGGGTGCTAACCAGTGCTCTTAACCACTGAGCCATCTCTCCAGCTCCCTGTACAGTATTTTTTGTTGTTTTCTGAGACAGAGTCTTACTATATAGCCCTGGCTGGTCTGGAACTCATTATTTAGACCAGGCTGTCCTCTAACTCACAGAGATCCACCTACCTCTGCCTCCCAAGTGCTAGGATTAAAGGCATGTGCTACCATTGCTGGCTTAAGGTCTCGTTGATATGTCAAACAAGCTATCACCCTGACAGCCTCTGATTCTTAAAAACTTTATGGCCATATTAAGGATTAAATTTCCAAAATCTTTGGAACCACAGACACCTAGGTCCTTCAACTCAGAAACCTTTGTCATCATGGCTGCATCAACCTAAGCTTTCCAGAGAGACAAATTCAGACTCCCCTTTGAAACAGGTTTCAAACACAATGACCATGGTGCTCTTGGAAGAAAAAAATTTGAAGAAGGCTGTATTTTCATTTCCTTATCACCAAAATCCTACCCTCTAGTATGCAACAGTGTGCCACTTCTGCCTAAGACCTTAGCTGCTCCCCACTAAATGCAAAGCCAGCGCACCACCCCCACACTGCTTACCCATGAGCTGAGTTTCAGAGGGTAAGGAGGCATCCTTCCTCTATATGGCTATACTTTCCAGTAACAGGCTCAGGCCTCTGTGTGATGAACACAAGACCTTCCTCTCCATCTAGCCACCCGACTCTCACCTCCCAGCCATTACCTTCTCCATCTGGCTGAGGAATGCTGCGGAAGAGACAATGTTGCTCCCGGATGAACTGTCCAGTCAGTTTGATGTCCACATCTACCTGGCCAACCCTGGGGAAGAAATGGCCATTTTCTAAGCATGGCTGATATCTGCTAAGTACCGCCAGAGCACCAACTCAACAAGTCATGTGGCACCATTCCCACTTCACACACAAGAAGTTGGGATTCAGAGACAGAAACTTGCCAAAGTTACATAGCTAAGCAACAGTGAAGCTGGGATTTAAGCCCAGGTCTTCCAGCACAATATTTGGCAAAGGGAAAAAGGACAGCCTGAAATGGATGGGCACTCAGTCCTTTAACTACAGGAGGCCTTGGGCCCTGGGGCTTTGTAAGCATCAGCCATTCAAGTCACTTGCCCCAAACCTGAAACTTGCCCCTGGACAACATAGGGCCAGACCATGTTTCCCTTTCCCTTTTCTCTTCCCCAGGGAGGGTCTCAGTAAGGGACACCAAGGAATGGTATTAGAGGCTAAGAAAACAGTGATCCATTTCCTATTAGCTCTTCTGCCCCAGTAAACCAAAAGTCATCCCCCCATGCCAGATGGTCCCAAGAAACATCAACCCTTCACTAAATTGGAGGAAAGAGAATACCTGCTGAGCAGGTGGGCTCAACAGCTTGTCAAGAAGCTGGGAAGGGAGCTTGGGCATGGTGGTGTACACCTGTAATCCCAGCACCTTGAGGCTACAAGACCCTGTCTTAAAAAAAAAAAAAAAAAAAAAAAACTGGGAGAGCTATCAGAGCTGTGGGAAGAAGCTGTCCAGACTAGGGTGTCTCCAGTGGCCACTAGGAAAAAAGAACTACCAACAACCAATCTGACAGTCCTTCTGCAGTAACACCCCAAAAGGAGAGGCCACCCCAGGAGACCACTAAGCGTATTTACCTGGTGACACCATCTTTGATGTGATAAAGCAGACATTCAGACATCAAGGGGTCTTCATTCAGGTTTACCAGGTGGGGAGTCTGAGGGTACAGGAGGTGGACAGGGATGAAGGCTCTTAACAGCCAGCCAGGGTGGCCACAGAGAGGAAGGCAGCAAAGCAGTGTGGGTGTTCATCCCTTGGTGATCATCCTACCCTTGCCAGTGGGGAGCTCACTACCCTCCTTCCTGCCTTGAGGAGCACCTCCGGTTTCCCCTCTCACACAAACAGTCTCTTCTCATAACTGGGCCTTAAAAAAACACCCCCACCAGGTCAGTAACCCTTCCTGAGGCCTCTCCTTTGTAGGGACCTCAAGACCTCAGGCTCCCCGACTACAAGGTTCAGATTCTACTTGCACTGCCCTCTTCTCTGTATTCCTACTATTCCCCAGACCCATCATTTCTTTCCTCAAAATCTACCTTGAGCCAGGCATAGTGGTGCACACCTTTAATCCTGACACTTGGGAGGCAGAGGCAGGAGTTCAAGGCCAGCTGGGGCTACAAGGGAGACCCTGTCTCAAAAATCAAGTGTCACTTCAATTTAAAACTGAAACAGGAGTTCAGCATGATAGTGCATGCCTGCAATTCCTGCACTCAGGAGGCAGAGGCAAGAGGGTTACATGTTCCAGGCCAGCCTAGAGTACATATTAAGACCCTATCTCAAAAATTTTAAAGTAATAAAAACGAAGCAAGAAAATGTGTTCTTACAGTAGACTCACTCTCTCTCATGGCCTCTTCCCTCCCTGGGCCCACTCACCTGAGGCCAGCAACTGACTGGTGCTGTCCCAGCCCATATAGCCTGCCTCCCTGACCAAATCCACCCCAACTGCTTCCTGGCCTTCTAGCTAAGATTAAGTATAAAATCTACCCAAACACCTGATCATTACACTGCCACTACCCTTCTCCTCCACAGCACCTTTTCCTGATTTGTCTCTTTACAGCATTCCTGTCACCCTCATACAGGACTTGTTCTGTCCATCCCTTCGCATGCCACTGGGCTGCCACTGCAGGAAAAGGCCCCTCCCTGTGGCTGCTGCCTCAGCCCACACCCTCTGTACCATCCTGCTTCAGGGCTGCATGACTTTGACCTCTCGTAAGGCTTCCCAGCCTCCGATCCTAACTACACGATGGCTGTATCATCGCTTTCCCACTGAGACCTCGCCAGTTGGCACCCCATGCCCATCTGACTTGAGTTCTGCATTTCATTCTGGCTTCCCTGGGCCTCCTCCATATCAGGGTCCCAGCCCACAGGTCCAAACCCCTTTTGAGAGTCTCCTCCCCAAATCTGTGCTCCTGCCCAGATGACTGCTGAGCACTCCAGAAGCACGTCTTCTGCATCCCTAGCTGCTAGTCCTTGCCATGTGCCCACACCTAGATGAGCCTATCACCATCCCCGGCCCACACCCCCCACCTGCCAAAATCAATCATTTTCTTCATGCCCCTCTAGGTCTGTCTCAAATGCCAATTCTGCCATGAAGCTTTCCCTAAGCTTCCCCATCATTCTACAAGAATTTACTGCACCTTTCTAGTTTACCTCAGTGAAATCTGGGTGGGAAACAGACATCAGTCAGACCCAGTTGTGGCTGCCTGTTAGTAAGGAAATCAAAACCAACTTAGAAAAGGCAAGACTTGATGTGGAAACACTGTTGATTATAAATGAGAAAAACAGAGCTTGGGCATGGTGGTGCACGCCTTTAATCCCAGCACTTGGGAGGCAGGCAGAAGCAGGTGGACCTTTGTGAGTTCGAGGCCAGCCTGCTCTACAAAGCAAGTTCCAGGTCAGCTGGGGCTACAGGGAGACCCTGTCTCAAAAAATCAAAAAACAAAAAACAAAACAAAACAAAACAAAAGTCAAGTGCAGAGCTAGGAGAGTTCAGGACATTGGAAGACTTCATGGGTTAAGCACCATGGGGTAGTTCTATGAGAACAAGGAAGGCACGGGCATGCAGAAGAGGTTCCAGGGGAAAAGAGTTTGGTAGAAACACAGAGGCTGAAAAGCAGAGGGCATAAGGGAAAACAGGCAGGAGTAGAGGCCCAAGATTTCTTTGGGATCTACTCTGCACAGCAGGAGTCCAGGACTGTGTCCAGGGTCTCTGCCTACTCCTTCCAAGGCACCCCACAACTGCTGCTGCCATACCCCCCTCAAGGGACACTCATGTCTCCTCCCTACACTACAGTGTCACACCTGCCTTGGGACTGGCAGACACTGATGGGCTCTGACAGCAGAAAGCAATTTATCCCTGGAGAAAGGAGACATGATTTAGGGCAGTGCTTTTCAACTTCTGCTCAGCCCTGGAACTCTTTGTTCAAGTGAAACCTTATCTAGAAGCCTAGGATATCAAGCCAATAAGCAAGGAGCCAATCAGCCCAGACAGAGGGCAAGGAACCCAGAGTCTGGTCCTGTCTCCCCTCCCCACTTTAGCCCTTGAAAAGGAAACTTGGGAGTCAGATTTGAAAATCACAAGTCCTCAGGCTTGAGGGTAGATGTCCCAGCAAGAGGGGGCTTTTCCTTAGAGTGCTTGCTCTAAGACAAACTTTAACTTTACCCAACTCTCCACCTGACTATTCCTAGGTTAGAGAAAGCCCTACCAAACCCATTTCCTGAGTAAGTCTAAGTTTTCCCATCTGAAATACATAGGCCTTGGAAATGTCTGAGAAAATGTTCATGCTCACCATCTTAAGAAAAATGCAAACACAAACTACCCCAAGACACCTTTTCACCAGTCACACTGACAAAGGTCAAAAAGTATGATGAACAAAGGGTTTTGAAAAGGATGAGGGAAGCCAGGCACAGTGACACATATCTGTAATTGCTGCACTTGGGAGAAAGAGGCAGGAGGATCAGAAGTTCAATGCCAACATCAACTACACAGTAAGTTCAGCACCAACACAGTCTACTATCAGGTCCGAGTCTAGCCTGAGCTACACAAGACCATGTTTCAAAGAAAAAGGTGAAGGAAAATGGGCTCCTTTACAGGTTGCTCTTGGGAGTATAATAAACTGACCTGGTTATTATCTTCAGAGGGCACTTCAGTAATATAAACCAGAATTTTATTTTATTTATTTTTAATATTTTAATATATTACTTGTGTATACATGTATATTACTTGTGTATACATGTAAGGATGCAGGAGCATCACAGTACATGTGCGAAGGGCAGAGGACAACTATTAAAAGTCAGTTCTCGCTAGGTGTGGTGGTGCACACCTTTGGTCCCAGCCCCTTGGGAGGCAGAAGCAGGCAGATCTCTGTGAGTTCAAGGACAGCCTGGTCCCCATAGCGAGTTCCAGACTAGCTGGGGCTACAGGGAGCCCGTGTCTCAAAAAAGACAAAAAAAAAAAAAGTCCGTTCTCTCCTTCTACCATGTGGGTTGCAGGGTTCAAACTCAAGTCATCAGGCTTAGTAGCAAGGATCTTGCCCACCCCAAAATTTTAGAGCGTCAGCTGGGTGTCCTGGCTTATGCCTGCAGTCCTAGCACTTGGGAGTTTGAGAGTCTAGACTACACAGTGAGTTCTGGGCAAGCCTGAGCTATATGAGTATGTAGGTCAAAAAATTAAAAAGGGGGCAGTGGTATGTGTAAACATACTTAAAAAGGTGTGAGAAAAGGGGCAGGAGCAATGGATCAGCAGTTAAAGAGCACTTGCTGCTCTGCTAGAGGATCCAAGTTTGGTTCTCAGCACCCACTTACATTAGGTGGCTTATGACTGCCTGTAACTCCAGCTCCAGAAGATCTGATGCCTTCTAGCCTTCTCAGGCACCCACACATACACATACATATAAATTGAAAAATAAAAATAAATCTTAAAGCCAGGCATGGTGTCACATGCCTTTAATCCCAGCACTCAGGAGGCAGAGACAGGTTGATCTCTGTGAGTACAAGGCCAGCCTGGTCTACACGGCAAGTTCCAGGCCAGTTGGGGCTACAGGGAGACCCTGTTTCAAAACCAAGAAACAAAACAAAACAAGAACTAAAAGGGTACTATTGAAGTTCAAAAAACTATTTCTAAGAATCTATTTTTTTTTTTTTGCAGGGGCGGGGGTTGTTTGGTTGGTTGGTTTTAGTTTTTTAAGACTGGGTCTCATTATGTAGCCCTGGGTAGCCTGGAACCCTAGACCAGGCTGGCCTCAAAATCTACCTGCCTCTGCTGGAATTCAAGGCATGTGCTGCCATGCCCAGTTTAAGAAACCATTCTTACAAATAATAATTTTTCTTTTTTTAAGATAAAGCATCACTATGTAGTTCTGCTGGTCTGAAACACTTGACAATCTTCCTGCCTCAGCTTCCTGGGTACTGAGACTACAGGGATGTATCATGATGCCCACCTTTTGACAACACCTATTTATGAGATTATCAACTGTAGCACTGTTTATGGCATCAAAGAATGTGAAAACCTAAATGCCTACAAGTAGGAAGCTAGCTAAATAAATTACCTGCATCTACACAAAAGAATATTCCGGGGGGGGGGGGACCAACAAGGTAACCTTTAAAATAACTATGTGTGCAAGCACTACTGTTAACAGAGTGAAGCCAGGTCCAGTGAGATGGCTCAGTGGGTAAAGGCACTTGTGTGCAGGCCTGGCAACCTGAGTTCCATCCCCAAAACCCAAGTGTACCCATTAGTTTTAACTGTCAACTTGGCATAACCTAGAATCATCGGGGAAGAGCGTCTCAATGGGGAATTATCTAGATCATGTTGGCCTGTGGGCATGTCCGTGTCCGTGGGGATTGTCTTGTTAGCTGACGTAGGAAGATCCAGCCCATTGCGGTTGACCCATTTCCCAGACAGGGGGTCATGAACCGCTAAGACAGGAAAAAGCTAAATGAGAGCAGCACAACAGCAAGGATGCGTTTATTCTCTTTGCTTTTGACTGGGTCTGACTGACTTGAGTTCCTATCTGGCATCCCCCAAATCATGGACTATTAACTTGGAACTGTAAGCTGAATAAACCCTTGCCTCCCTTATGTTGCTTTTGTTCAGTGTGTTTTATCACAGCAACAGAATAAAACTAGAACACCATGTCATAAAGATAGAAGGCGAGAACTCCACAAAGTTGTTCTCTGGCCTCCACATGTATACAGTCGCACACCAAGTGCACATGTACATGTACACACACACTTTAAAAAAATTTTTTAGAGGCTAGAGAGATGGTTCAGTGGTTAAGAGCACTGGCTGCTCTTGCAGAGGACCCAGGTTCAGTTCCCAGGACCCACGTGGTGGCTAACAATTGTCTGTAACTCCATTTCCAGGGGATCTGACCCCTTCTTCTGACCTCTGTGGGCATTGTACAACACAGATGCACTTACATCCATGCAGGCAATATACTCATCACATAAAAAAATAACATTTGAAAATATTGTTTTAATGAGGGGAGGCAGCAGGATGACTCAGCTGGTAAAGGCACTTGCTACTAAGTCTAACAACCTGAGTTCAATCCCTGTAACCACATGGTGGAAGGAGAGAAGCAACTCCCACAAGCTGCCCTCTGACTTCCATATGACACCCATGTACCCACACATACCATGTAAACCCACAAATAATGTAATAAAAGAATGAGGTCATGTATATATTCATGTAATTATTTCTATAACACATCAGAGTATGCACTAACCACTTGTAGGAGAGCACATTAGGAAATGATAAATGGAGGTTGCTTCTGAGAGGTAAACTGAGGGTAGAAAAGAAAGAGACTGACTTTTTACTGTATTCACCTTCTGGTACTATTTGAACGCTCTCCCTGGAATGTACTACCTTTACCAGAACAGCAAAAAACCAGAACTTCTCCCTGCAATCTGGGACGAAATGTCTACTGCATCTGTTTCCCTATCCCTTTCTCCTTTTCCTCCACCCCTGCCACTGGGCGGAAGTATCCAAGTACCAACATCCAAAGGCGGGGAGAGCTAACCCATCCTCCCAAGACAGGGCTGGGTTCTAAGAGGGTCTAACTTCCTCAGGGGATACCAAAGCCCTAGGTACCCAGCCTGGACTAGACCTCTCAACCTGGCCTGCTACCACTAATTATCCACCCATACATCTCTCCCTTGCTGTAGTTTAGGCAATACGAAAAGCCCTCTCCTCTTCTCAGAACAAGTGTTCTGGATTTTCTAGATGGACTTGACCTTACAGAATAAAGTAAGCCTCCTTCCAGTAGTCTACCACCTCTTTGTGGCAGTCTCTAATGACTAGCCAGAGCAGTATGCCTGATTTAGGGCCTGATCCTAGTCTGCGTTGCATCATGAACCAGACAGGATAGGCTGGTTCACTGGTGGGACTGGAAGTTCCTGCTCTGTTCAAAGTGACCTCCACATTCTCCCTCAATCAGTATGCACCAGTCAGCTGTGCTGGCTTGTTTTTTGTTATTGTGGGTTGTTTCGTCTGTTGTTTTGTCTGTCCGTCTGTCTTTCTCTCTGAGAATTTAACCCAGGGCCTTGCACATATTGGACAACAACTCTACCACTGAACTACATCTCTAGCTTTTATATTTTTGACATAGGATCTGACTCCATAGCTCAAGCTAACATTGAATTTGAGATCCTCTTATCTTTGCCCTCTACTCTCCAGGTGCTAAGATTATAGACATGTGCCACATCTGGCATCTGGCTGACTTTCCATAGCCAGTGTTCATTCTAACTGATCAGTGTTGTGCTAGTTGGCTAAGTGTTTTTATTATTTCTGTGCCCAACTGAGCCTGATCACTCTTGCCTAGCTTCTCAGTAAAACTTTCTGAGCACCTACCACCTATCAGGCATGTGTCAGGCGCTGTGTCCCATGTAGCCTAACATATATCCCAGCTTGTTTAATCTCACACTGTCCCTACCCTCTCCATCCAAGTCTGTCCATCTTTCAGGCTCCATTTCACAAACCACCTTCCTCAAGAACCCAACTACTATAAATCCAGATCACACTGATGCTTCCACCTACAGCCAACACTGCTGCATTTGTAATCACTGTCCAGTCATGCTCATTCTTCCTCCACTCCCTTTCCAGTCATCTTTTCCTGTTATACTTCTGTAAAAAAGCTTTTTTGTAGGCTGGGCATGGTGGCACACACCTTTAATCCCAGCACTGGGGAGGTAGAGGCAGGCGGATCTCTGTGAGTTTAAGGCCAGCCTGGTCTACACAGTGAGTTCCAGGACAGCTGGGGCTACAGGGAGACCCTGTCTCAAAAAGACCAAAAAAAAAAAAAAAAAAAAGCTTTTTTGTTTACTTTTTAATTATGTGAGTGGGTCTGTGAACCTGATTGCAGTGCCCTTAGAGGCCAGAAGACAGGTGGTTACAGGCAGCTGTGAGCTGCCTAATGCGGGTGTTACAAACCAAACTCAAGTCCTCTGGAAGAGCAGTACCTGCTCCTATCCACTATACCATCTCTCTAGATGATGGAGGGACAAGTCAGAGGCTCAAAGGGAGAAATCAGGGTTAGAGCTCCTACCCTGGATACATCCAACCCTCTTCTTCCAGTTTCCCCCATAACCCCTAGTGATGCTTTTAAGGTTTTTTTGTTTTGTTTTGTTTTGTTTTTGAGATGGTCTCACTTTGTAGCCCTGGCTAGCCTAGAACTTACTATGGCGATCCACCTGCCTCTACATCCCAAGTGGTGGGATTAAAGGTGTACACCACAACACTTGGCCCTAGTCATTCTTTTAAAACATGTTTTTCAATTAACTTTTCAAGCAGGTAGGTAGCACAGGCATTGGGCACAAAATTCAAATGATACAAAAAAATATAGATGCCGGGCATGGTGGCGCATGCCTTTAATCCCAGCATTCAGGAGGCAGAGGCAGGCAAATCTCTTTGAGTTCAAGGCCAGCCTGGTCTACATAGTGAGTTCCAGGACAGCTGGGGCTACAGAGAGACCCTGTCTCAAAAAGACCAAAAAAATTAAAATAAATAAATAGAATGACTAAGTCTCTACCCCCAACCAATCTCCAGTTTTCCAGCTCCCTCACTCTCTCCTGAGATAACCACCCTCTGTGTAAGTCCTGAGAAAAGTTCTGTGCATGTACCTAAAAACCTAGATTCCAAGCAGCTTTTACAGTCCCTTGTGGGTAGAGTCTACTATCTTTCAGTGGACTCTAGAATCCCTAGCCATGGACATTTAATAACCACTGAACTCTCTAGCTATCTGATGGAGAAGACAGAGATGGCCATATAACACAGACAGAAGGTGGTAGGGAAGGGAACAGGGATGATGGAAGGATAAGTCAGAGGCTCAAAGGGAAAAACCAGGGTTAGAGCTCCCACCCTGCCACACACAACCCTCTCCTTCCAGCATCCAGAGAGCTCTCTAGGCCTCTTCACCTGATCCCTCACATACCTTCTTTGGCGAGAAGACACCCACGGTTCCCCCGTCCTCCCGGACGGCCACCCCCATCTCAGCCAACAATGCTTCTCTGTGGGCAAAAGAAAGGCAAATGTCAATCTTATCATTGCTACCCACAACCTCCCCTGCAGAGATATCAGCTGTACACCCTAGCACCTCATACCTTTCCATCCTCAGAGCTTCTGTCTTTCGAAGCTTTTCCTCCCAAGTCTCATTTAGCTCAGCTATGATCTTCTCTGTCTCCTAGGGGGCACAAGACAGGCAGAAGGCAGAGTTCAGGACAGTTGGGAACCAACACCTGCCACAGAGACCAAGGCACTCCTAGGATTCTTTCCTTCACTTCAGCCTCAGTTTTGGAAAAAGTAAATTCCCAGCAGACCCCAGACTAACCCTTGCCAGCTCCAGCTTCCCACCTGTAGTCTCTCCATAGCCTCCTCAGGCCCAATCTGGGGCTCAGCACTGGGGGAGAATGAGGGCTCCAGCTCCCCATTGTGTGCAGGGGGAGACGAGGGTGAAGCTGGAGCAGGGGGAGATGATACAGCTGGCAGAGCACCTCCAGGACTCCCCTCTTCCACCTTCAGGCCTAGGAGGTTTGAGAAAGGCAAAAAGGCCAAGATGGATCTGATCAGAGACTTAGAGAAGGTCAAGAGCATCACAGAGAACTGCAGAAACCATCTGTGCAACCTCCTACCAGGTAAGGAGCCCTCCTAAACAGTGCTAAAACTAGCCTGTACCCCACAGATGAAGCACTTAGTATGGCATGAGGTGAAGCAGCCAGTTCTTTTCATAGTTAATGGCTTCCACAGTCAGAAAGCTCTCAGCTGTGCTGAGCTGTAAAGTGCACAGCATCACATGTATCTGTTTTTTGCTTTAAGTTCTGCCTCTGGGATAAGGTGCCATACTGCTTTCCTTTAGCAAAACAACTCATCTACCTTCTCTCCCAAGAACACCCTTATTCCTCCCACACTATCCCTCGGCACCCTATTCTCAATGGGATGGACCTTAAGACTGAACACAGGGTCTGAACTTGACCCAGTAAATGTGGATTATGAATCTTCTCACATGGATGCTGATTCTTGCCAGTGAGGCTGAGTGCTACATTTCAGAAACCATTTCACTGCTATTGATCTTACTGTCAACTAAAACCCTGAGGTTGCCAAGCATGGTGATAAATGCCTATAATGGGAACATTTGGGAGGCTGAGACAGGAGGATAATGAGTGCACAGCAGGCTGGACTACATAGTGAGACCTTGTCTCAAACCAAAAAAAGACAGCTGGGCATTGTGGCTCACTCTTATAATCCCAGCACTTGGCAGCCTGAAGGAGGAACTGCAAAAAGGTTACAGTCAGCCTTGGTTACATGTATCAAGATCCTGTCTCAAAAAATAAAGCAAAACAAGAAAAGAAAAGCTTGTCGTGTGTAAGAATTCCTACAAGATAGATGCTCAGCAGCATCGTTCTCCTTTGTGAATCATAAATGCAGGACTTATCACATATTCCTTGTACCTGCCATCTTAGTAGTTTGAGAAGCCTGTCAAGTTCCTTTGGATTCTGACTCTCCCTGAGAGACTAAGTCTGTTCAGAACCATATGACCAGAAGATACAAGTGTCTTCTCCATGGTGGGTAGACCATCCCACATTCCAAAAGTGGGCAAAGTCAAGGAAGGAGAGATGGGGTAGACTAAAAGGCCTCCCTGAACTGCCCCTCCTCTGTACCCCTACCTCCCAGAGCAGAGGCTGAGAGTCCCTGAGCCAACAGCAGCTCCCGCAACCGGGCCACCTCCTCCTGCAGTTCTCGGATCAGTCGGGCATTGGGGTCCTCATTAATAACAGCATTGCAACGGATCTGCTTGGTGCGGTCTGCATACCTAGGTAAGGAACAATCAGGACTGGTGAGGGCAGGCCCAGGAGACCCTGCAGTCTGACTATTTCCTGCTCATCCTCCCAGATCTCAAAATATTGTGGTAGGGCTAAGAGTTCACCTGCTTCATAAATAACTAGTTTCTGAGCACCTGGCACTTTTGGTATGCTGCCCCATCCCTACCAAAGCTGAAACACCACCTGAGGGTGCTGAGCGTCTCCTCATAATTGATGTCAGCAGGACTCAAGGCTGCTATCATTGCTGTGCGTGAGTTCCCACCTAGGAACAAAGAGGATGAGAAAGCTATAGGTAAGCTGGGGCCTAAGAAAAGTCAGACCAAATGAAGTGGGGCTTGCCTGTAACCACTGCACTCAGGAGGTAGAAGCAAGAGGATCACAATTCAAGGCCAGCCTGGGCTACATAAAACCCTGTCTCAAATAAATTAATTTAACTAAAAAAGAAAGGGGAAAAAAAAGAAAAAAGAAAAACAAAACAAAACAAAAAAAAACACGAAGGCATGGTGGTGCATACCTTTAATCCCAGCACTTGGGAGGCAGAGGCAAATAGATCTCTGAGATTGAAGTCAGTCTAGTCTATATAGCAAGTTCCAGGCCAGTTGGGGCAGGAAGATCCTGTCTCAAAAAACAGCCAAAATAAAATATAAAACAAAAGCCAGAATGGGCCATAAAGCCACAGGAACCTAATGCCTAGGCAAAGGTCTGAGAGGTCATTCTTGAGGCAGGATAAAGCCGAAAACTGTGGAGCCAATCAGGAAGTTCAGTAGTTATAGGGAAATGTGAGGCCAGGAAGACATCGGGTATCTGTGGGCAGTCTTAGGTCTGTGGGAGGGGGATGACCTCAACAGTGGTTTGGGGTCAGGGAGGGGTTGGATTAAATAAGTCAGTGAGGCCCCTGGCTTGGCAGAGTGTGGCTGTGATCTCAGCATAGGAAACTTCACTTCTCCCTAAATTAGGGGGAGAAAGACCGGGACAACACTGACTAGATTAGAAAGTGTAGGGGTGGCAAGAGGTATCAGATGTATCAAAGAGGGTTAGTGGGCTGAGAGTGGTGGTGTATGCATTAATCCCAACACTTAGGAGAGCAGAAGCAGGAGAGACTTTATGAGTTTGAGGCCAGACTGATCTACATATCAAACTCCAGGCCAGCCAGGGCTACATAGTAAAACCCCAAAGTAAAAAACAAAACAAAACAAAAAAACAGCCAGGCATGGTGGCACACGCCTTTAATCCCAGCACTCAGGAGGCAGAGGCAGGTGGATCTCTATGAGTTCAAGGCCAGCCTGGTCTACATAGTGAGTTCCAGGCCAGCTGGAGCTACAGGGAAACCCTGTCTCAAAAAGACCAAAAAAAAAAGAAGTGGGGGGTTAGTGGGATGGTGGCAGGGTCAACAAAGAGGGAGAAAGTACCCCTCACCCAAATTCTCCTTGAGCAGCCAAGTGAGCACAGAATCTCTGTAAGGGATAAAATCCGACTTCCGCTTCTTTGATTGCTGGGGGTAAAGGAGGAAGGCAGTCAGAGTGGGCCATTCTCTGTGCCCCCTTTCCTGAGCCTTTTCTCTTCCCAACCCCAGGGCTTACCAAATCTGCCAGGGCTGAGATCACCTTCCCTAGAGTAGTCAGGGACTTATTGATGTTAGCACCTTCCTGGGAAAGAACGAGGAATGCTACCAATCAGATACATAGCTCCTCTCCACTTTGCAGGCAGGAGTCCCAGGGGATGATGAGCAACCTCCCTCCCCACAGAGCCCCCAACAAGGTGCCCATCCATCCCTCCAATGCATCCTCACCTTTAGACGCATGCCCCGGGCCCCTGAGGAGTCAGCCCGCTCACTCCCGGCAAGGTCCACCAAACTGATCTTACTGACCTGAGGTGGGAGGTAGAAGGTGACAGGTAGGTAAGGGATGGGAAGACAAATTTACTCATTCATGTGTTCATTTATTCACTTACAAATATTTCTAGGCCCACTGTGTGCCAGGACAAGGAACACAGTGGGACCTGAGCCCTACCCTGAGAACCCTAGCAAGGACAAGCAAGCAAACAGGTTATAACACACTATCTGACAGGCAGGTAGAGAGGGCTATGGAAGCCCTGAGGAGGTATCGTCAAACATAGGTGTAGAGAGACCACCCAAACCCGTTCTATCACATCATGGTCCCCATTTGGGAGAAATCCGTACCTTCTCTGAATCTAGCCCAGTAAGCTGGTCATGGGAGCGCTGCGTGAAGACAATAGTGAAGACAGCATGGGAACGGCTGCTGGTCTCATTCATATTAGTGGCAGCCACAGTCCTGGAGTTAAAAGGAGAAGTCACAAGGTCCTGCCCCTCACTTTCCCAATTTTGGCTCCCTTCCCTCTCTGTCAGCCTGCCTCACCGCGCCTTATTTCCACAGTCCATGAGGTCGGCAATGTCTGCGTATGAGGTCACAGCCAATTTAGACAGATCTTGCACGTAGGGGCCCAGGATGGGGTGCTCCCGAACCCGCAGAGAGCCTCGACTCTTAGGGTTCAAGAGGTCTCGTACTCGCTCACAATAGATCTCCATATAGCTCACCTGAGTGGGAGAGGCAAACAGGAAGTGAGGAAGACAACAGTGACACTGCCAGCGAAACTGAGTGTGAACTCCACTACACTGGACAGAGGCAACTGCCGCTCAGGTGGAGTAGGCATGGTGTTAAGACTAAACATGCTGGCTCACTGATCCTTCCATCAACCCAAGCAGGTGGGTCTGATCATTAGCATCATATAGATGAACATACTCAGGAGCTACAAGCCTAAATCACTGTCCAAAGTCACAAGTTAAGTCACCAGCAGAGCCAGAATTAGATCCCAGGCTGAATCACTTTGTTTTTCTGCCTCTTGGCCCAGGGACACCAGCCCCCCCCCACACACACACACACACCAAGACTGGGGCTTACCTCCACAGAATAGGAAAGCTGAGTGCTCTGGTTCTCATTAACACGAGAGAAGAGGTCCTCACAGAGCTGGAGGGGGATACAGAGAAGCTCCTGTCCAGGGCACACTTGTAGTTCCCAGCCCCAGGCCAGACCTTGTCCCAGGTGACCCAGTATAACCCTTTCCACAGCCCTGAGGGAGGGATGGGTCCCATTTTATAGATGGGAAAACAACCTCTGAGAGGTTCATATTTCTCTAGGGTCACAAGCTAGTGTTCACAGACGCAAACCCAGATACTCTGTTCCCTACAGTCTGTGTGCAAGACACTACAGAACATGGCCAGGGATAATCATGGACAACTTTCAGTAATCCACAAGTACAGTTAATACTATCTGCAGTACAGAAGTTCATAGGGGAGTTGCACTGAAATATAATTAGGAAACACAGTAAGATAGTAGGAAGCAGGGGTAAAACCATGGCCTACACTCAAGACTCTCTAATGTTTCAAGTTTTTTTTTTTTAATTTTTATTTATGTGTGTGTGAACATATGCATGCCTGTGGGGCCAGAAGAAGAGGGTGTTGGATTCCCTTGGAGGTGATGTTACAGGAAGTTTTGAGCCACCAGAAACCAAACTCAGGGCCTCTGAAAAGCAGCAAGTGCTCTTAACTGCTGAGACACCTCTCTAGCCCCAAAGCTCTCTCTGTCAATGCCTTGAGCCTTGTCTCTGGTGAGAGAAAAGCCTCTCTCCCCAAACATCCCTGGGTGTTAGGTTGTAGCCAATCCTTATACCCCATCATATTCCAAATCACTAACAGCCCCAGAGCCAGGTCTTGGGGCTCATAATCCTTAGAGCCTTGTCCTTCTTTCCCTGTAGCAACTGATGACATTCTTGCCCTAGCATGTACCTGAGGCACAATGCCCTGCTGCCCTGGCTCTTGCCGTCCCATCATGGTATAGGACTTTCCAGCCCCTGTCTGCCCATAGGCGAAGATGCACACATTGTAGCCTTCAAAAGCATGGAGCAACATTTCTTCTCCGATGTCTTGATACACCTGCTGTTGAGATGCAAACTGCGGATCCTCCACCTAGGTGAAATGGACGCCAAGAAAGACAGCTGGAGCCCTGGATTAGTTTGTTCTTTGTGTCTATGGCCCAAGAGTCTTGCTATACCAATGGCAATTGCCCAAAGGTCCTCTGTCCTGCTCCCCGACCTCCCCAGAACCCCCACCCCAACTCCATCATTCTTATCCCCGAAGATTTTATCTAGCAGCCTGCTGGTCCTAATTACATTGAAAGAGTCTACCTTCTCCTCTAGGACCCAATCACAACCTAGGGGCACCACTCAGGCCAACCCAGGACTTGTTCTCCCATTCCAGTCCCCTAGACAGCCTTACTTCCCAGCAACGCCTCTTCCCCAAGACACAAATCCCCTGTTCCCCCATGACTTAGCCCTTTCTCCAGTCCCAATAGCCTCACCGAAGTATGTGACCAATAGGAATAGTCAAAGGTGAAGCTTTTGGGGGCATCCTTGCTCTGTTTTGGATTGATGATGGCTGAGGGGGCAGGAAAACACAAAGAAGGGAAAGTTAAGGTCAGGTATTCCCAACCTCTGCCCACTCTCCTGCTAGCCCCTAGGATCTAAGCTTCTACTCCCCATCTCTGTCCTAATACATCTCTCCCCTTTAATACTCCCCACCCCCTCCAGTCACCAAAGCTAATTTTGGCTTCACAGGACCCGCCCCCACTGAGCTGCCTCCCTGGATTGGGCAATGGAGGGCTGCTGGCCAACATTCCCCCTCCCAGGGACAGGAACATGGAAAGGCCAGCCTGCTCCACCCCCTCCCTTACAACTAGCACCTGCTCTGTGCCCAGCACAGCCCTCCTCCTGGTTCAGTTCAGCAGGCCTGGCCTGTACTGCAGGCCTGATCTTCTCCTCTTATGCCCAGCCAGGCCTCTAGACTCACTCACAGGTGGTGCTGCCCTGCATGCTGACCACACACTTGGCATCCTGGCTGGTTTCACGGGCATTGAAGGGCCGAACCCTCACTGCCACTTTCACGGAGGCACCAGCCATAGCTTCAGAAACTCCCACCCTCCTCAGCTAGAGGACAGAATAAAAAAGATAGAGTCACTGAGAGAACTCAGACAATACCTCCCAACCTTCTTGAGATCATCTCTCCCTACCCTACCACAATTAGCTACCCATCCCCACAAGGCCTCAGTTCCTGCTCTCTGGTCTTCCTCCCAATGTCACTGTCTTGAGGGGCTCCCCAAAGTATTCTTGCCTCTCTCCCCAGCCCAATCCCAGCTTACAGGGACCTGGGCCATCACCCCAGTTACCTGGCGTCCTGGCCCCAGATTAGGGGGGCTGTATCAGTTCTGGCTGCCACCGGCCCTTGTATGGGAAGCCCCATCCTACACTTGGGACCACGCCAGCAGGGGCTGTAGGGGAAACCCTGGTTAGGGGGAAGAGTGGTTAGTAGGCACCTGTAGCTGCAGAAGTCTGTCTGGGGTTGTGTTTGGAGGACTGGGGGTAGGGAAATGTTAGGAAAGGTAAGGATAGCTGCCCCTCTGAAGTGGCTGAATGCAATGTGAATCCAAGGGCAGGGACGGACAGTGATATTTTTATTCCTAGTCACTCACAAGTATACTGAGAAGGGGGGAGACAGAAAGAGAGAGAAGAAAGAGACTGGACAGAGGGTAATTCAGAGAAGCAGACAAATGGGCAGAAACACTGAAGGAGGCAGGAGGGGGAGAAGAGGGACAGAAAAGTCACAGACACCAAGAAAACAAGAGAAATAAGACAAAAGACAAAATTGAGGTCATGCTATAAGGGAAAGAATGGCAGGAGAAAAGGAAGGAAGACATAGAATACCAAACCCAGAGATGTTGAAAAGGCAGGGAGAGGGCTCCAGGATGAAAGCACATACTGAAAGCTCAGAAAAGAGATAAGAGACAAAATCCTAATCATAAAATCCTAATCTAGAATTCTCCTCTAGGGTCCCAAGTGAGAGATAGAAACCAGTCAACACATATGAGGCAGGGGCTACTGATGGGCAAAGTCCAAGGGCTAGCCTTACAGCTTGGAATGAGAATCCACAGGGCCTGTCTAGTGATCCCCAAACCCCTTGCCCAGCCCCCAGTACTTCCTCAGGATCCAGGACAATGGGCAGGGGAGGGTGGGGTCATCCTGTATCCATAATATCAACCCCCAGGACTCCACTGCAGAATACCTGTAACTTGGGGGGGGGGCTTCCTGAAAGGGGAGAAAAAGGAAAGGAAACAGGCTGGTCCTAACCCCAGCCTGGGGCTAGCGCTATCGTGTCCACTGCCCTGGGGAAAGTGCCAGGCTACATACAGCCTAGGAATGTGGGTGATCCGGGTGCCCACACCCTGGGAGGAGAGTGAGCAGCCCACGCCTACGGAAAGCAGGGTGAGGGCTTATGGCAGGGGTTCAGGGACATCACATCCCCACCTGTAGCCCCAAAGAACCTAGTCCAACTTCTGTCATGCTGGGCCTCACCTCACCAGCCTTCCCGGGCAGAGCATGGGAAGAGTGAAGGGGCTGTTCTATCCTACCGCAGGAAGGGAGTAGCTAAAATCACAGGGGCTGGCTCGGGAAGAAGAGCCCTGACCCCACCCCCACCAGACCCTTACCAGGGTAGAGAAGGACACTGGTGGGGACACGCAAAGTGACATCGCTGCAGATAAAAAAACAGGAATAGGGTGGCAAAGCTAAAGGGTGGCGGGATAAGGAAACAGGGTCCAGAGTTTGCTGGTGCAGCTTTAAGGGCGCACTGGGGTACAGGGAGGAGCCCACGGCTGGGGTGGGGCCTACCGACCCGAAAGGGGGCCTCGGGTCACCTGCACCTTGCCCACACGCAAGTTCTTCACCAGGCCTGTCCTCTCTGTGCGGCCATGAGTTCCCCGTCCTCCAGTCCAGCCAACCGACGGCTGCCTGGGCCCTGGCACCTCTCTGCGCCTCCGCGGGATAAATAGCACATGATCCGAGCTCTAGCGCCCAGCCGGCCCGGCCGGGTGGCGCAAACGGGACCCGGCTGCCCGCCCGCCCGTCGGCCCAGTGCATTCCTCCGCGGGCGTCCCCTCCCTGCCACCCACGGGCTCTCACCTCTTCGCGGCGGGGCTCCCGGAGCAGCTCGGCTGACTGCAAAGGGACAAACTTTCCGGGAAGCGTGAGGCGGGAGACGGGGAGATCCGAGGTCGGTTCGGGGCTGCCTCCGCCCCTCGCCGGGTCCCCGGGCAGCGGGCGGCGGACTCACGCCCCGGGGATGGCAGCAGTAGCGGCGCCTGCGGC